TGGATAAACCACAAATATGAAGGACTTGTATCAGTTATTTATCTGCAGCTCAGCAGCTAAACATGGATGCTTACCAAACATGACAACTCCAGAACACAGAAATGTAAGATTCTGTTGTCCGTGGATGACGTCGTGAACTCTAGGTGATAGTTGTTTATTTTTTAACTCCAGAAGGCGGCAGGAGAAAAAAACACTTTTCTACATCCCCTTCAGTCAGACCAGCAGACAGACGGGGTCAGGGGTCAGGGCAACGGAACGCTGCGGATGAATCCTTGTTGTTTTATTTTGTTTTTCTTTGTAAGTTCTGGGATTTGAACAGTGGCCAAGAGAGCTCAATAAACTTGGGAAAGTGAGTACAAACCGACGATTAGGCTGCCAACATCTTCATCAGTTTAATAATAAATGAGCTGCAGATTCTGTTTCCCCGGAAGTTCGAACACCGGCAGAACTATGTCAAGAACATCATATCATCGCCTCGTCAAAATGTGAATGCATGTTTTATAAAAGCTGCAAACTGCAGAGAGGAATGGAACTTTTTCAAGTGATTTCATGGCGGTCGTGAATTAGCAAAGTGCATGTCTTCATGAGTTATGCTGGCGCCGAGCAGCCTCAACTTGGAACGTGAAAATTAAGACGAAGCATCTTCAAAACATCATAAAGGAACAGCAAAGCTGCTCCGCCGGGTTCTGCTGGCAGCCTCGGCACCAACACGCCGGGAGTAAAACCTCTGCTCCCTGTTAAACTTAACTACAACCATAACTTCTTTTATGACGTGCACTTGACTTACAGTTTATGAATTGTGCTGTTTTCCTCCTGTAATAATTTTATAATACCATTTTGATGGGCTGAAATAAGACGTTTTACTTGCTGAAACGTTGCATTCAGCTTTTATCAGGATAAATCAAAGAGTCAACAGGAGCTAAAAACATGGCTTATTTACGAACGAGCGCTGCTCTCAGCTCGCCGTGGGGCTCTACGCAGCTCGCGTATTGACAAACGTAGATTGCAATGCAATAGACTATAGTGAATATTGACAATTCAATAGCAAAGACACCTCCCTGTAGCTGAGAGGTTTCCCTGTGCAGGAGGAGATGACCTTGCTGAATACATATTCTGGAGAAACGCTGATAGAGCTCCAGTAGCTTGGGAAATTGAATCTGTGTTATAACAGAAAAGCATACAGGATGACAAGCAAACAGTGTGTGTGTGTGTGATTGATTTAGTCATTAATCTGAGCTGTGTGTGTGTGTGTGTGTGTGTGCGTGTGTGTGCGTGCGTGTGTGTGTGTGTGCTTGAGAAGAGCCCGTCTGTGCACACACGGATAAGACTTCTTGTGTTTAACTGCTGCATCTCTCAGCCCACCTCCATCCCGTCACGTCCTCCATTCTATCGATCGGCCCACAGAACAAACACACAAGACACCAATGCAGAAAATAAATAAATAAATAAAAAACAGAAGGTTTGTCTCTGTTGTTTGGTCAGGAAGGGAAACGATGTGACCTTTGACTGCACAAACTCTTTTTCCTGCTTTGATTTTTCCACAAAAAGCAGTTTTAAACTGTTAAAGAGAAATATGGGAATGAATTTAACAAGATCTTTGCACCGATTTAGACCTTTTCTTCTTCATTATAAGTTTGAAAAGCGTTTATTTTAGCAAGCTGGAGGACAGCGTGATTATCTGACGGTGTTTAGGATCAGTCTGAGATCCAGTTCACCGTCACACACACACACCGGTAGTAAATACATTCATCTGGTTGATGCTAGCCACTAACAATAATACCTAAATGGAGACTTCAAACCTTTAAGAGTTTGTCTTTGAGGAATGTCATTTTATTATAAAAAGTGTTTGGATGGATCTTTGTTTTTGCCAGATTGATGAGCTAACTGCTAGTCACAAAAAGGCGTACTAGCAGTGCATTTCTGCCCACCCAAAACAAATCAGACCTACAATATTTCCTAGTGTTTCAATCAGAGTTAGGTTATAAATCTAAAGGTTTATAGGACTTTATTTGGTTCTTTAGACAGATTTCTGTTAGCTTGATTTAGCTGCAGCAGCTAGCTATAGCATGACTGGTGCAAGCTGGAATACGTGCAGCAGGATTACATCAATATTTCTGCAACAAAAATCATGCGTTAAAAAATGTTAATAGAAAATTTGCATAAATCACCATAACATTATTTATTTATTTTACTTTATTTAGCGTGAGCAGAACTGAGCTCTATTTCTAATAACTGATTGTGTTTGCATAGCTATCTACAGCCGTTTTTACAAAACGCCGTCAATTTGCCGCAACGCTGAAGCGGCTCCAGGGAGTCGTAGGTCGTTTATAAGTTGTCAGACAACATGGCGGTACATGGGGACTACATGAGGACGGTCTCTGCACTGCTGCCGACGTCCGTTTATCTTGAACATAACTTGCTTTTCATTGCGATCGAAGCCGCACTCATTAGGTTTTTAAAACTCGCTCCTGAAGGTGTCTGTCCTCCACAGTCCCCGTGCAGTCGCTGGTGATCTGAGCTCCAGCTCTAACGGAGAAAAGCTGCAGGAGCGCCGCTTCGCTCCAGATTAGCTCTGTTAAACAACTTCAGTCCTGCTCAAATTTATTAAAACTTCAATCATTTTGAGGATTTTAACCTTTCAAATACCAGTTTGATTACTCAATGTCATGGCTGCAATTTATGAAGAAAAAACCCACAAAAACACAAGAAAATTGTAAATTTGTTATATTATATATATATATATATATATATATATATATATATATATATATATATATATATATATATATATAGTGGGGCAAAAAAGTATTTAGTCAGCCACCGATTGTACAAGTTCTCCCACTTAAAATGATGACAGAGGTCAGTAATTTACATCATAGGTACACTTGAACTGTGAGAGACAGAATGTGAAAAAAAAATCCATGAATTCACATGGCAGGATTTTTAAAGAATTTATTTGTAAATCAGGGTGGAAAATAAGTATTTGGTCAATAACAAAAATTCAACTCAATACTTTGTAACATAACCTTTGTTGGCAATAACAAAGGTCAAACGATTACTATAGGTCTTTACCAGGTTTGCACACACAGTAGCTGGTATTTTGGCCCATTCCTCCACGCAGATCTTCTCGAGAGCAGTGATGTTTTGGGGCTGTCGCCGAGCAACACGGACTTTCAACTCCCTTCACAGATTTTCTATGGGGTTGAGGTCTGGAGACTGGCTAGGCCACTCCAGGACTTTCAAATGCTTCTTACGGAGCCACTCCTTTGTTCCCCGGGCGGTGTGTTTGGGATCATTGCCGTGTTGGATGACCCAGCCACGTTTCATCTTCAAAGCTCTCACTGATGGAAGGAGGTTTTGGCTCAGAATCTCACGATACATGGCCCCATTCATTCTGTCCTTAACACGGATCAGTCTTCCTGTCCCCTTAGCAGAAAAACAGCCCCAAAGCATGATGTTCCCACCCCCATGCTTCACAGTAGGTATGGTGTTCTTGGGATGCAACTCAGTATTCTTCTTCCTCCAAACACGACGAGTTTATACCAAAAAGTTCTACTTTGGTTTCATCTGACCACATGACATTCTCCCAATCCTCTGCTGTATCATCCATGTGCTCTCTGGCAAACTTCAGACGGGCTTGGACACGCACTGGCTTCAGCAGCGGAACACGTCTGGCACTGCAGGATTTGATTCCCTGCCATTGTAGTGTGTTACTGATGGTGACCTTTGTTACTGTGGTCCCAGCTCTCTGCAGGTCATTCACCAGGTCCCCCCGTGTGGTTCTGGGATTCTTGGTCACCGTTCTCATGATCATTTTGACCCCACGGGACGAGATATTGCGTGGAGCCCCAGATCGAGGGAGATTATCAGTGGTCTTGTATGTCTTCCATTTTCTGATACTTGCTCCCACAGTTGATTTTTTCACACCAAGCTGCTTGCCTATTGTAGATTCACTCTTCCCAGTCTGGTGCAGGTCTACAATTCTTTTCCTGGTGTCCTTCGAAAGCTCTTTGGTCTTGGCCATAGCGGAGTTTGGAGTCTGACTGTTTGAGGCTGTGGACAGGTGTCTTTTATACAGATAATGAGTTCAAACAGGTGCCATTAATACAGGTAATGAGTGGAGGACAGAAAAGCTTCTTAAAGAAGACGTTATAGGTCTGTGAGAGCCAGAGATTTCCCTTGTTTGAAGTGACCAAATACTTATTCTCCACCCTGATTAACAAATAAATTCTTTAAAAATCCTGCCATGGGAATTCATGGATTTGTTTTCACATTCTGTCTCTCACAGTTCAAGTGTACCTATGATGTAAATTACTGACCTCTGTCATCATTTTAAGTGGGAGAACTTGCACAATCGGTGGCTGACTAAATACTTTGTTGCCCCACTGTATATACAGTATATATATATATATATATATATATATATGAAAGCTTTTTCTGCCTGTGGCATTTATTATGGGTAACCAAGTTATTGGTTATGTTATGAAATATCTAAAACATTAAAATTTTTGCATCAGATTTTGTATAGCAACATTTTTAAAAGTTACCATCTTCTTATGACCAATGAGGACAAAAACATCCCATTGACTTCCAATCAGACCACAGTTCTTGATTCTGTAACATCTGCAAAAAATAAGTATGCTTTCTGTGATTTTAGGGTTTCCTTTAAAGAAAAGTACTCACATTTGTTGTACACTTCCTAACTGTTTTTGTTTTCTACACTTGGAAGTTCAGTAAGAGAGTCAAACTGTGTTTTAATCACTTATCTGAGGTAAAGTTGACCTTTTGACTTCAATACAAACAGAAGATCTAAAGAAATGTGTGATTTGGTGGTGAACAGTAAAAATAACAAATTTGACTACTTTTCTCTAAAATGAAACGCTAACATCACAGAAAGCATTATCATTTGTCGCAGAGGTTACAGGTTTAACTGTAAAAACTGAAAAAGTGGGAATGGAGGAGGTGTGTGGTCAGGAAGACATGCAGGAAAGGCTTCTTACCTGGGTCCTGTGCAGCTCCTGGGTTGGAGGTGGAGGGTTGGTGGGAACAGGCAGAGAAAAGGAGGAAAAACAAAAAGGGAAATTAGCAATCCAAGTCAAATTTTAAGCTGATTATCTTAATTTAAAAAAAAGATAAAACAAACAGCTGTGGATGCTAATACAGTTCAGGTGGAACAAGTGAAAATGCAAATAAAAGGGGAAAATGCTGCTTTCCTCTTAAAAACGTTCTAATATTCAATGAAAAGCAGACAGTTTCAAAGAAATCTGATGACGTTTGGACTCAAAAAGCAGATAATAAGAGATGTGACATTCAGAAATCAACTTATTATTAAATAATATTGTGATGTTTTACTGTAAATACTGAGAAAACCAACTCCAGGTACTTTCATTCATTCATCATCGTTTCTACAGTAAACATCTTTATCTTCAAGATATTTTCCAAAAGAGCCTTTAGACGAGGGTAGAAGCTAAATAAAGTCATTACTGCTGATTACAATCATTAGAGCTAATAGCTTTTATACACAGTTTAGGGGCTCAAATATACGTGGAACCACAAAAGGGCTAAACGAGTGATAACAGTGAGCGGTGGGATGTTGCCAGGCAACCATGACACTCCAGGAAGTCTTTCTCCTCTGCCAAGAAAACAATCCTACACCTAATTGTCTTAGACGTCGTGTTCATTCTATGTATTAACCCAAGCTATTAAAAACAAAACTGGTGAGGTTTATCACTGCCCAAATTACCTTTAATTCGGAAATGCTATTTTTATCTGTAATTTCTGTGCAAATTAAACCTCATAAACCACTACATTTAATCTTTAAATGTTAGTCCAAAAGTTTTAATCTAATCTTTTGTAAAAATAACATAATTTTTTCCTAAAAAGCTGGAAAAAAAGATCTGTGTGAAATCAGTGAAAATTTCAATGTTGCCATTTTCTAAAAATCACAAAAATACAAAGGATTTTTTTTTATTATGGCATAATATTCATTTGGGTTTCTGTTTACATTTGTCATCATGCTTTTAGAAAATCTGATTTTTTATCCTGACACAAAAGTGAAAAAAGTCCAATTAAAGTGTAAAAAAAACCTCCAACTGAATTCAGACAATGTGGCCGATTTAAAAACAGTAAACATTTTAGACGTTTCTCTTTGTTTATATCATATATTTTCTCCAACTTCTTTCAATTTCTTATAAACCAAGATGACGGAAATGTTTAATTGTTGTAATCTTATCCATTAAATGGATGTGTAAAACAACATAAATCAGTAAATGCATTTTGTCCTCACAAGCTCCCATTGAAGGAAACATGGCATCTGATATGGCGTCGCCAAGAAGCTCCATTGTATTTTAAACCTGATTTTTATGGTTATTCGTTACAAAGCCGCCAATATTTTTCAACAACTGGGCATCATTTCATTCATTTTCAACAACATTTTGATGGGTATTTCTGGAAATTAAAGGTAAAAACTACACATTGTCTCTTTAAGAATGGTGTTCCACAAGGTTATGTTCTTGGCTCCATTTTATTTATTTTATTGCTTTATGTACTGACTTTATATCAACAAAGGTGTAGAATCTTGTCCCAGGGATTCCAGTTCACCTCTCTCACCCATTCAACCCACTTATGAAACATAGGAGTGATTTCTGATGGTGATGCATCATGGTAACCCACACATCAAGAATGCTGTTTATTCATGTTATTTGTTCTTGAATGCTTATTAATTTATTTCACCTAACTTATCCAAGTCTTGTTTGTTACAATATAACCTCTTTAGATTAATCTTCAGCTAATATAAATTAATTATACTCACAACTAATGTGTGAAAAACTGCAAAATGTGTCCAAATTGCAAAATAATGGGACATAATTAAGACACTAAGGTACTAAACAGTAAAATTAAAAAGGGATGTGTAAACTAAAATCTCATATTTTGACATAAATATTACATCAAAGCATTTTTATGTTCCCTATTGTGCACACTTTAGAGTATTGTGTATAAAATTCCATTCATAGACTCACACTGTCATCCTAGAATAAATATTATAGTAAATAAAATATGTTAACTGGTTCTTGTTGCTCTGGGGAAGATACAGTGTAGAGTTTTTACAATACTTCATATGATATCAAGTAAATACTGACTTTAGCCTGATGCATGTGCAGTGTTAAACTTTCACCAGTCCTATTTTATTGTTTGAATATCAGCACAAAATATCTGTGTCATGCACCTTCTACGAGACGGGAAGAGAATACACCCACGTTTTGGAGTAAATCAAAGTACACCGACTTCATCCGTGAAACCAGACTCAGCTGAGCTATCTGTGTAAAACCAACAGTGGAACGGAGGAGAAGAGTTGGCCTTCGGTACAGCCTGGCACCCACGAAGGTCCTCATCACAGAACAGCGTTTTCCAGCCAAGTGAGCATCAAGATTCCAGTTAAGAGGCAGATTTTGATTAGAAAACCTATTTCCTTTTCAAGTTTTGCCAAATTTCAATCATGGCGATATTCTAATTACCATTATCCAGAGCAAGGAAGCAGCACAGAGATTGAGTGGGACTGCGTAAGTGAGGGAGAGGAGGAGTGAGAGCAAGGCTGGAAAAATTAGGACCCAATGAAATAAAGGAATGTCAACTCAGTTCGATCTCACAGCTGTACAGATGTTTCTTACCCAATAATTAGCTTTTGTGATTGTTAAACACATAGCTGCGAGTTTAAGAGCGTCTGCGCTTTTCTGACTAGGAATCAAGACCCGATCACGTTAAACTCAATTCAAAGCATTACCTGTCTGAATTGCTTAGTGTTTTAATGAGAATCAGACGCTCAAATCAAGCAACCTGAGATCAGATTTGGAAAAACACACAGTGGCACAACTTGTCAGTTCCAACAAAATGCTTGCTGTGCTTGACAAAAGCTTGATGGAGTTTGACAGTCTTTAGTTTCAGCAGAAAAGCTTTTACCAAACCCGAGCACTCGCTAACAGAGTAAACTCCAAAGTCTCTCAGCATTGCATCAGTGCTCTCTCCTGCTTAAGCATTCAACCGTAGTACACAAAGAGCGGTGGAACAAAGTGCCTCAGAGAGACACACACTCAACCCGGACCACCCTGGTTAATGTTCAGGCGGTTAGAGGCTACGGCTCTGCTGTGGGGAGGCTGAAGCAATAGGCCGAACATAGAGAGGAGAACCCCGTGTTAAGCAAACCGGAAGGTGGGTTAAGAATAACTGCACAATCACTTTGCCCCTGACGGGGTTTGCAGAAGGGGGGTTTCACTACCCCACCATGACCTTCAACCTCCAGGGGTGAGGTTAAACGACAAGGACTGCAAAGATGCATTAAACATGAATCATGTGGACTGAGAGCTAGCCAGTTCGCTCCTGAGATGATAGGGACATTAGCCAGGGTTTCACTGGGGCCTGAGCTGCATTTAATTAAGGTATCCACCACCTCCAACGGTCTCCCTCTCTGTCCGACCCACATACATGGCCGTAAGGAGCTCCAGATAAACACTTTCTCTTCCTGGCTCTCACTGAAAAGCAGAAATGCATCCTATGAGAAAGACCCACGCTTGGATCTACCATTCATAAGAAAATGACAATATGTTGCTTATGTAAATAACACAATAGCACCAACTATGACACATGGTCAGTCCTTACTACTGTACTTTGGTCACATACTTAGTTAGTGGCCTAGTGGGGGAGTGTCCGCCCTGGGATCAGGGATATTGGGGTTCAAATCCCAGTCGGGTCATACCAAAGACTTTAAAAATGGGACAAATGTCTCCCTTCTAAACACTCAGCTTTAACGGGTTGGATTGGGGGTTGGGGGTTAAACCACCCCTGAGCACCACATGGGATGGGTTAAATGCTGAGATGAATTCACCAGTGTGTGATGACTAATGGGACTTCAACTCTGAAATGGAATTATGACTGATTTAAATCATTCTGCCTAGCATCAAAATCCTAATTCAAAGTATAAAAATCTCAAAATCCAGCGTAAGAAGTTAGTAATATGCCACATTCCACATACTCCGGAATCATATTCCGGAACTGTGCTGCTCTGGGCGGCTGCATGTTGGAGTAGCTCTGTTGACTATATGTACGTTTTGCCTTTTTCTGGACATTTTTTCTTTTAGTTTCTCAAGATAAACTGTATTTTTTGGGCATTTTCCTTTTCTGTTTCTGGTGCTGTGAAGCTTAGAGGATTTTTACTGCTTTTTTTTTTAGCTTTTTGAGCATTTGTCATGTGTAACCATGGCAACAAGCTGGTTTACAATCAAGAGCAGCTGATTAACATTGGAAAGGCTGAAATAATACCTCAACTGAAGCCACTAATCCCAGATGAGCTAAAACGCAAGAAACGTGGGTGCAGAGCGGGAGCAAAACGGAGACAGAGAAAGAGGAAATTCAAACCATCTCTTCCATCGATCATGATGGGCAATGTGAGATCACTGGCCAACAAGATGGATGAACTCCAAGACCTTTCAAGCACTCATCCAGAGTATCGGCAGTGCAGTGTTATGTGTTTCACTAAGACGTGGCTGCAGGACCATATCCCCGATTCCAGCGTCTCTCTGCCAGGATTCCTGACTGTACGAGCAGACAGAGATCTGAAGAGGAGCGGGAAAAGAAAAGGAGGTGGAGTGGCAGTGCTTGTCAACAACAGATGGTGCCATCCAGGTCATGTTTCAGTGAAATGTCGTCTCTGCGGCCCAGATGTTGAACTCTTGGCAGTAAGTTGTTGCCTATATTATTTGCCAAGAGAGTTCACCACTGTTGTCTTGGCAACCGTTTATGTTCCACCTTCAGCCATTGCTGAATGCATGTGATGCCATCAGTTTTGTTGTCACTAAGCTACAAACCCAGCACCCCAATGCATTTGTGGCTATATCTGGTGATTTTAATCAGGCCTCGCTCTCTGCTACACTTCCAACATTTCAACAGTTTGTCAGCTGCTCCACCAGAGAAAACAAGACACTGGATTTGTGTTATGAAAATGTAAAGAATGCATACATGTCCAAAA